GTAATATATATATATATATATAATATATCTATATATATATATATATATATATATATATATATATATATATATATATATATATATATATATATATATATATATATATAAATATATACATATATATATATATATATATATATCCATTTGACTGCATGTCACTTTGTATCCAAGTCCAATAAACACTCGATTTGACTTACCCCGTCGTTCTCGATCGAGACTCGCTTAAGCCGCATCACCAGCTCTATATTGCCCTTTGAATTCGCACACACACACACCGTCAGCAATACAAATCCAATGTCTGTCTTGAGAAGATCACCTCCCAACACGTATCCCTCTACGGTATACGTCACTTTCTTCTCATTATAATCATTGAATATATCCGTATCACGCGCATATGTGGGGGTGAGTACCGATGCAACGGCACACACCGACACCGATGCGTAGTCGGCATGCTGATATACCCGGAACGACACTAATTTGTCATATGAGATTTTAGCGCCGGTGACTACCAGTGCTTCTGACCCAGCGGTGGCCTCGGAAAGTAGCAGTGGTGTTGCAATTAACATTGTGTATATCGTTGGGTGATCGATTGCTGTAGTGTGGGATGATTAGATGCGGAAAATGCTTCTGTACGTTAAGTTAATCGAGCCGTAGGTCGCTTGCATGCTAGAAGATACGTATTGGTTCGATGGGGTGTGGACGATATATCTGATATATCTAATGCAAACGTATTAATTGCAGAAGACGATCCTTGTCACATGTACATACACGCATATATATGTCATCAGTGTACACACACACACACATATATATAAATATGTCAGGAAATGCGCCAGTGGTATTGATATAAGTGTACAGTGTTCACTCTCTATTTACCATATATAAACGCCAAACGGTAAACCCAACATATTGTGAGGACCACAGCCCACAGGGCATAGGGGCCTGCCTCAATCCGTTGAAACGGTTTAAAATCAATTGGTTTACGTTATCGTTTAACGGTTTGTGCTACAAATAGTACCATCAGCTCAGGATTGCAATTCCTGAGAGACTTGAGTGGGCCTAATATATTAAAAATCTTTTCCGTTTAAACGCATAGGATTCATTAAAATTAATTGCTGAATTTACGTTCAATGTTTATTGTATGGGTGCAGCAGGGTGCTGTGACCGTGGATTTCAAAAGACCCGCCACAAGTTAGAAAACCGGGATATAAAACGGAATGATGACGTCATTATGATGACGTCATACTAATATATATATAGTACGAGATAGTATAAATACATACCATAGCCCTCTAACAAGACAGAAGGCTATGTAAATAAATACACACGGCAGGATGACTTCTATAGCGTCTGTTGTGCCACCAGGCCGCGTGTTCGACAGAGCATTACACTTGCGTAGAAGACCATTGAATATAAGAATGTATTTATTTACTATGTAAATATTTGTATATATGTAAACATGACATTTACATTGTTTTAAAAGAAGAATGGGAAATGAAGGATGTATTTACTATATAAATATTTGTATATATGTAAAAACATGACAATTACATTGTTTGAGGAAGAATGATATATGAGACAAATTGGTGCAGGAGATCGAAGCATGCAAGCTAGCCTCAATTGAAAAACAAGGAAAAAAGCAAACTATAAACTTTTATCAAGCAATTTATCATTGACGGCAAACATCGACTGAATAAGGCGAGCGAAAATTGGCTGTGGGGTTGATTCTCTACTAATTCTATCATGCAGCGAGAACATATTGGGAGCTGTTTTTTTTTTTTGCAAATTTCTTCATAGCCTTCTAAAAACAAACACTGTCTTCGAATATTATCATTGAAATTAGTTAGAAAGCATCTCGTGACTTGTATCTACTTGGTAGTGGTAGTCAATCATCAATGTATGACCACTTCTGCTGTTTTCAGCGTTTCGTTCTAATGGACTTCCGACCGCTTTGCTCAGAATATTGTTGGCGCTTTTACTGCAATTTGGTCGGGATAACAATCTATGAGACGAACACGTAAATCATAGCCAGGACATGCAAGTAGTGTGTTATATGTTTGTATTTGTATAACATGGTAGAGCCAGAGTGTGACCTGAATTCGATGACACATGGAAGTTGTCACCATTATGTATGGTTTGTACCTATAAGCCATGCGCACGCCCGGCGCTGTATCTCTCTACGCTCAATAAACGTACGCCAATATATATTAACCGCACTAATCAAAACTCATTACATTGAAGAGCCCGGGCAATACAACTTAGATAGATATGTGTACATTTAACAAACATTAACGGGTATTTACGGGATTGTAATTGTATATAATGTGTACGTGTGTGTACACATTATATCAAAGCGACAATGCCAAACATGTTTCTTGCTTGTGTCGGATTGATTTGAAGAATGTCCCTGTCAGCCGATCTTTAGATCAGATGAAAGATGAAACGCTGATTTTTGCTGCCGTAGACTGAATGATGCGACCCGAGAAATATTTAGTTTCGTTGATGTCATCGTGATATCTATCTAATTCACATTGATAGACCGTCTACAGTTCGATTAGAAGTCCTTTTATTTGTGAACAAATGATTGATTTCGACGGATAAACACTTGCAAGTTCCTTAACAGCGATGTTGTTTTTTTTGCAATATGTCACTCTCGATAGCCATACACAGTATGACATTTTCCTGCGCGAGTATAAAATAGTGCTCGCCTGGGTGTACTGCTCTAGATTGCATACAGCTATACATGCGCATACGGTACACAACAAAAGATAGTTGACTGTATCGTACCTAATACCCTCAACACAAGAAACTATTAAACCAGGACACTATAACATAAGACACAGGATTGGCAATAAGATAAATGTTAACATCCCACAGAGAAGCGACCGCACCGTCCGCCTTCGAGCAAGTGCTAGATAATGTGTGGTGCACCATTGGCACTATGCAGTACGAGTGCTTCAACTCTGATATCATCGACGTGTTGGAAGCGCTGGAGAGCATCTTCCTGGTAGACAACATCGCCTCCTACACACACGTAATGAACATTGCGCAGGAGCCCGGGACTAACTATCGCATAGAGCTGTACTCGCTCATGGCACGGGCCATTGCACGCATTCGACACAGTGTGTTGCATACAGAGACTAACGTGTACGACTTTGATCACATTACCAACGCACAGTTGAATCCTTCCGACGTGCTTACCTACCTCCAACGTGCGCGACTGTTCTACTCCGCCCGCATGGGGTTTACAGAGGGGTCTACAACGGGGCCTAAAGTTGCCGGCCGAACTACAGCCTTGACTAAGCAGAACTATCATCGTGAGATCAACTACAAGGCGTTAGAGTGCTGTCTACGAGAGTCGTGCGCATCGGAAGACTTGGTGCATGAGGTGGAAGCCCTACCCGAGTTGTGTAACTTGGATCCGGCATTGACAGCCATGCCTGTGTCACGGGTACCCTCCCGCGTGGACCAGAAGTTCTACTAAGTTGTTTAAGTATGTGTACATGTACACATTAAGTTTTTTTAAGTTGTTAAAAAGTTCTGTTAAGTTATACACATGTTAAAATTCTCGTTTTATTCCGCATGGTCAGAACATTATCACGTTGAATTTGGAGGATAGCGATCTGCAGCTGCGCACGTAGCAGACGACTGTAGGTGCGTGCGATGTACTTCTAACAAACATATCTAGAACACGTATCGCAGAGTGCCTAATACACAAACAAACACACACACAAACACAGACATACACATCAACAATTATACTGAATGTTACTGTGAGGGGTTTAGGGTGTGTGTCCTGACACACACGTGTTTTGCTCTACCAACATGGTCGTAGTTCTACAGCCATACACACAGGGCGTATGCGATGCGAGTATTGGATCCGAACATACGCGGCCGTTGTTATTACAAGGTTGTTGAGAGGGTTGGTAGCTACACTTAGCCACACCAGCAATCCATATATCGTCACAGCAGTGTTGCCCGAGCGTCGCTGTGTTGTATTGCCACACGGTGAGGTGTTTCCACAAGCGTGAGCTCTGAATGAGAATCGGACGACAGCAGCAGCTGCTGCACTATGTAAAAACCAATACCCAATACCCTAAGCCCTATAGGATATGTGTACACCCATCCATGCCAATGCACGCGTACCAGGAGTTGTGAGCGTACACTCTGCCAAGGAGGGGGGGGGGGGGGTAGGCAACCCTAGCTGAACTATCAGAAACGTATAGCTACTTCAGAGATATATGTCAAATAAGCCCCAGAACCCCAGAGAATTCAATAAACAACCATCGCATATATTCAGTAGTCACATATTGGCAGTTTAGTACCATAGCTTGTGGGCATGAGTGACCAAGGGTCTAAGCCATTGACATAAGACAAATAGTGCAATGCCCATTTATACCGTACAATGCTGCATCTAACCAGTTGTCCTATCAATGCTACATCCAAGCATGGCACTAAGCCAGTTGTCATATCCGTTTACTTTATTCCTTGTGATGGCACGGTCACTTAACTAACGGATTGGTTTAGATATTGGCGTTGGGGTCGAAGAACTTGTTGAGCATGATCTTGAGCGACTGCACCGAGTACTTGATGTACTTCTGCGTATTCTTGCTGAAGTGGATCTTGTCGGCCCTGTGTTTGAGGGCAACACCACGAGAGCGTACCAGAGATATGAGTATGCGAGATATATGGTGTATGTGTGCGTTTGGTGTGTGTGTTTGTGTGAGTGAGTGAGTGAGTGAGTGAGTGGGTATACACACACACACATATATATATATATATATATGTGTGTGTGTGTGGGAGGGAGGGATAGGTAGATGCCCGTGTCTTACAGGACAAGCCATGACTACCTACTAATCGCACGAGTGGTAGTGACAGTGGTAGTAGTGCTGGTGTATGTGTGTGTGAGTACGAATGTGTGTTTGCGTGGTGTAGGTAGATTGCTCACGGATCGGCAAAGCAAGACCACGTGCTAATTGCCAAAACAATCCGAAAACTCTAAAACCCTAAAAAAAAGGTACATGGAAACCCTGGTTTGCTTGTGCTTGTGTGGTTGTGTGGCGTGCATCACGTGCATGCAATTGTATCTGTGTGGGTCAGTACAGACACAGAAGTAATGTGCACTCCACCAAGCGCACTACAGCACAAAATCATGGACACACCTTACACAACCACACGTATGTACACCCCTTACACAACCACACGTATGTGTTCTGCCTTGCCTGGAACGGAAGTCCTTGTAGTGTGGCAGCAGAATCTCTTCATTGAGTTTGCGCAGAAAAACTTTGAGTTCGTCGTCGGGTACTGAGTACTTCATTTGTCGCTGGCGGATTTCCTCAAACTCTGTGTTAAAACCCTGGAGCGTCATTTGCGGCGTACGGGATAATATGCAACACGTGCGTAGTTTGCGACATTAAATGAAGGAGATATTGAGTTTGCGACGGATGTTTTCTCAGCTTTGATGTACTCTACGTTTTTGGAAATGTGTAGATTGATCTGGGATACTTCTATTGTATGCAACGATTGTCAGGATTTGGTACAAACACAAACACAAACACAGACATAGACACAGACACAGACACAGACACAGACACAGACACAGACATATATATATATAACACACAAACACACACATATATATATACATATATATATATATATATATAACACACACACACACNCACACTACTATACTATATATATATATAA